GAAAGTAAGTGAAGTTCTTTTTCCACTGTTCCCCATGCCAAAGAAGTGGTCATTCTGACTATGACTGTCCTTGATAAACATGCCCCAGGCTGCCCCTGGCCATCCAGAGCCTTTGCCCTGATATTTTATTTGTATCCTCTGACATTCTCAAGACCACTTCAGTGAACTTGGAGATTACATGTAAAATCAGACTGCCAAGAAAAAGAAAAAAAAATTCTTGTCAGAATTACTCTAAAAAACCACTTAGGAAGTCTCTATTTTAGAGCTCTCAAAATCTAATATGGTCAATTTTTCCATCAGAAGAGGGAAATATAACTGTTTATGTATAAGCCAAATAGTTGGCTTGTAAGATTGAGGCCATATTGTGTGGTGAATATATGTTGTTCTTTATTTTTTTTAATTTTTTATTGATTAAGGTGTTGCATATGTGATGCTGTTCTTTAAATACATTAAATTTTGAGAAATGTCTACACCACAAGAGGCTGTAAGAGTGACAAATCCAAATTCTTCTTGGCATACTAACAGGTTATTATTGTAAATTTTGGGCTGAATAGTCAATACATGACTCCTGTATGAAGAAGACAGTAACCAGAATGTTCTCTTGCTTATCTGGGGACTTTATTGGTTCAACTAAGACAGTGACTAAAATAGTGGGAAAAATCTGAGTGAAATAAAAATCATTTTCTTGGCCTCAGAGAACAGTTTCTCTGGATCTGTGAGAACTGTCAATTACTTTTCAAGTCACCTAATTTAGAAAGTTAATTACATGAGCACAAAATCACCCAAATCTGCATATGTCATTAGGCCATGGGCCAGTTTACACTGCCTCCCTGTTTTCACAATCAGGATGAATTCAGCATCACATATGGCTTTTATTACAGAACTATGATTATAGAGTATTTGATAACAGACTTTCAAGCATGGAGAAAAAAGAAAAAAAAATCTATTGTGTTATTATGGCATGTTTTGGAAATTAGAATAAAGTATTAATGAAACATATTTCCTTTCTATTCCAGCCTAGAAGAGCAAAAAAAATTAATAGGAAATTAGACTATGATCACTGTGAGCATAGAGTGGTACAGGAACACACAGGACTGACTCTCACCTTAATAGTTAGCCAAGCCAAGGAGAGGCAGTTCTTTCTAAATGCTAGGAAAAGCATGTGTGTGCAGCATGTGTAGCACAAGTTTTTCTTTGACAAGAGTGTTGACAACTAACCGAATAGAAAATGCTCTATGCACCCTGAATATATACTATATTTTTAGGAAACATAAAATGGCGGTATAAGCCACCAAGAAGAATTCACACCTTTGATGAGTTTGCAGAACTGGTGAGAACTAAAAGAAAGAAACAAAATTTACAACCCTCAGTGGCATCTTAGTGTCTTGCCAAAGTGATGTAATCAGTGATGTTTGTGTGCAATATCAAATACTTTGAAAGCCTTACAGAAACCAGATGTTAAATATGTCTGCAAATCATTGACAATGTGATGAGCACAAATTTACATGGAACACCTAAACAAGATCTTCCAAACACTCATGAACACATTTGAATACCCAGAACACAGACTCAGCAAAAGGCTGAGCAGTGCTCTTTTTTCAGTAAGGTAACTATTTATTAATCAGTAATTTTGTCACTGAGGCATATGCTACTTAGAGGAAGACAAAGGACAGCATTGGAATTATGGGGAATTCTATGCAACCAAAGACATTTTAGAAAATAGCATCTTTTTCAGTCCACACAAAAACATCTCTTGGCCACCAAAGCATACAAATAGTGCCTTCTGCCTAGAAGAGGGCTGAGAGTAAACATTTTTCCATGTCTAATTTTGCTTAACTCTGCATATCATCCTTTAGATGTACTTTATTAGTCCGATTACCATTTTCATTGCCATATTATAGTCACTAAGAAGGCAAATGTGTGTAACGCTCCCTAATAAACACCAACTTTTTCTATCCCTAACATCAAAAACAAAAAAGGAAAAATACAAAGAGACACACTCGAATGGTAGCAATTTTATTTTCTATCTTTGTTTATTGAATCATTTCAGAAGATGTGTCTTTATAAAAATCTTATCAAAATCATGTACTTGCCTATGGCAAATAAACTATTCCATATTCAGACTTCCTATAGTCACATACTTCTTAAAAAACTCTGATGTGCAAGTCTCCTCATCATTTTGCCAAGTCACTTAATGACAAAACAATTGTCAGTTGCATCAAATGGTTTTTATTTCAATACCTACTAGCAATATTTGTTAATATATTATTTGATATACAAATTTCTAAATGTTCACTTCAAAATAGCAGACAATTGGTACTCCCACTTTAGTGGGAAGCAATACGATAATAAAACAAAGCACCTATGATTTAGAATAAGAAAGACCTGCCTTTGAGTCTTGGTTTCTTTACTGCTGTCTGACTTTGGGAAAATTGTTTACCATCTCTGAATTTCAACTCCTGCAGCTGTAAAATAGAGATAACTGTACTTTATTTCGGTAGTTGTATTAATAAATATATTACATGTAGAATATAGTATACTGCCTGGCTCAGAACTAAATATAAGCTACTCTCATAGTTACATATTTGTTATGAATGCTAAAATAGCAAAACATTTCTGATTTCATGGGGAATGTGAAATTCAGGGGACAAAGCTTAGGCTTGGCCCAGTAAAATCTGTATTTGAATCCTGAGTTTTCTGTGAAGTAAAAGAAAGCCACTTAATTTTCTTTGAACCAGAACTACTTCCAGTGGGAAATTTGAGTACTAATGCCTACCTGGCCATATTATTACAAAGACTAAATGATAAACAGCCATTGAATAATAATAGCACCTAGTATACAATAGCAGTTGACAAATAAGGAATCATTTGATTTGTAGTCCTTGGAGTGAAATAATTCCATCTTATACAGAGATGGAGAAATAGGATTGTCTTCAGTTACCAATCCTGCTGGTTGGTGTTGGCCTGGCATGTTCTGTGAGAAGGACTCCAATATTTACTAAGCCTCTGTATGCATGTAATGTTGATGAATGAAGAAACTGGAATCCAACATGTGATTATCATTAAGTAGATTGAAATATCCCCAGATATTCACACAAAGCCACTGCAAAGGCAAAATATCCTGCAGATACCATATATTTTAAGAACCGGAAATATAAAGTTACTGCTTTTTTCATGTAATCAGTGTTATAGGAAAGAAACTAGTGGTGAAATCTGAAAAAGCAACAACTAAAAGAAAGTCAAATCCTCTTACCCTTATTCACCAAATCTGGTGTTTGGCAAAGCACATAGATTATTAGAAACTCAGTTGTTATCTCATTTACTTACCATTCAAATATTTTGTAATTTGTTTCCATTCATTCTAATCAGTAGTAGGGACTATGCTAGATGGAGTGAGGAATAGAGATCTTAAGACAATAAAGGTTTATCAAGGATGATTATAAAATATCCCTGTATAGCCCTGGCCTGGTGCATCAGTTAGTTGGAATGTTGTCCCATAAGCAAAAAGGCTGCAGGTTTGATTCTCAGTCAGGGCACATACCTAAGTCGCAGGTCTAATCCCCAGATGGACTCATACAGAAGGCAACCAAACGATATTTCCATGTTTCTCTCTCTCCCATTTCCTCTTTTTCTAAAAATCAATAGAAAAAGATATCCTCAGGTGAGGATTTAATAATAAAATATTTTTACATAAGATTTACAGAAACTAAGAGAAGCATTTAAGGGCCAATTCTTCAGAAACCAAAGAAACAGACCTGAGATTTATTTAACGTAATCAAAGAGCTTTATTTTCTAGAACTGAAATACTTCAGATCTAAACTCCCACCGCTAGTTAGTCAACAATTTTTCATCAGAGCCCAAGGAAGAAGACGGGGGGGTGAAAGAGATGAAAAGGGCATAGAGAGACCACCAGGAACAGGTGAAGAGGAGTCATTTATTTCTCCTTCTCAATAGGTTACATATCAGGTCTGGTGGCAGGTTGGGAAATGTGGATGGGAAATTACACTGCAAACAACAAAGCCTTAACTACAAAAATGGCATCAAACCCCACAAAAAAAGGGGAACCTCCTAGTTTATCTAAAAGAGGGGGTAGCAATGGGTTAGGAGTCTCATGGAGGTATACCCAGGGGTAGTTCTTAATTAAAAAAAAATATTTCCTTTTATTAAAAATGTTTCCTAAACTATGTGCCTTGTCTTTTATGTCTAGGTGTTGTATATGACTATAGGATGACCTTGAGGTTGTAGGGAGAGAGGAAGGCTGGCCAAGGGTCTTCCTAGAACCACCCATGTGGTCCTAGAGATCTAAATGGGGATAGATGTTCCTCACCATTCGCATCCAAGAAGCTGGGCAAATTTTCCAATTTTACAAACAACTTGGGGGCCCCCCAAATAATTTAATGAAAAACTGCAATGTAAGAACTCCCTGGGTCAGTAAAAGTATTTTTGGAAGGGAGGACCTCCCCCACAAGCTGTCCCACTTTTCCTGACTCTGGGAGGTTGGCAGAATAGGTATGGAAGAAGTGGACGGGACCTCGGGAAGATGTCACTCCCCTGCCATCATCCACCCCCACCCCCCACCAAAGTTCCAGGCCGCTGGAAGTCCACCTTGCTCTTCATCCTCGCCCCTTCCACTCCTGCTGGATCCCAACACGGAGGTCCAGAATGTCCGGGGGAGAGATGGGTGTTGGGAGGTGGGAATGGTGCAGGCCGACAGAAGACTTGGGCCACAGTTCCAGGCAGGAAGGTAAATGGCCTCATCTCCTCCCAGGGCACAGGGGCCCTGACTCAGATCCCAGGGGCACGGGGGCAGAGGTGAGAGACAGGTAGCCTGCCAACCACGCAATCCAGGTCAACCTCACAGGCCAGGTGTGCTGTATCGGGAGTGGGGTGGGGTGGGGGGGGGGGATGGAAGAGAGGAGTGGGCAGGGCTGGGGAGGTGGTCTCAGTTCAAGGCCCCTTTCTGGGGACAGGGAGGGGGCTCTTGTTGTTGCCGTTGGTGACTACAGGCTCTCGTGGTCTCCATCCCCTGGGACCTCGGCCTCCCCTTCCACCTGGGTGGCCTCCTCCTGCAGCTCCCCTTCTTCCTGCGGTGGCCCCCACACAGGGCCCTGCTCCAACGCCTCCACCAGGATGGGCCTCGCAGCCTCGCAGGCGGCCTCGGCCTCCGCCCCCGCTGCCTCCGCCGCAGCCACCACCACCGCCTCCTCCTCGCCTTCCAGACGGCCTTCCAGGTCGGCCACCTTGGGGCGTTTGAGGACCACGTCCTCCAGCAGGTCCCCGGCGCTCCTCTTCAGCAGCCCCATCTCCTCCAGCTTCGGGGCGGGCTCCTCCACGGGCAGCAGCTCCCCTTTCTCGTCGCGGCGGCCGCCCTTCTGGGCCTCGCTGGCCTCGAAGGCCTCGGGCGGAGGCGCCGGCACAGGCCCCTCGGCGCCGCTCTTCTCCAGGGGACCCTGGTTGTCGTCATCGTCATCATCGTCGTCGTCGTGGTCGTGGTCGTCGCAGGCCTGGATGGTGGGGTTGTTCTCGATCTCCCACAGCCCCTCGCTGAAGCCCCGCCTCTTGTTGGGCTTACCGAACTTCTCCTTGCACTCGGCGTAGGGGAAGAGGTGTTTGGGACCCAGGAGCGCCGTCTCATGAGTCCCAAAAAAAAAGACGGCGTAGCGGTTGTGTTCAGCCATGTGCTCGATCCTGGCCGGCCAGTGCGCGTAGCCCTTGAGCTTGGCAAATACCAGGTCCCCGCTCTGGTATTTGGGAGAGCAGAAATCCGACATGGCGGTGAGAGGACCGGCCCTGGTGGTGGCGGAAGCGGAGGGGCGGAGGGCGGGAGGAGACGCTGGAGAGGAGCATGCGCATCAGGCAGCCGCTGAGCCCCGGCGGGCGCCCCCTGGAGGGCCCTGCGCGTGCGCCTGCACGTGCGCGGTGGCTCAGGGTGAGGAGGTTCTAGGAGGATGGGGGCGTTCTCTAGAGCCCGCTGGCCCAGCCTGGGCCTCGTGGTCCCTGGAACAACACGGGGAGTTGCTGAGATGTCCCTGGCGGTTGTGCAGGCGGCGGCCCCGTGCTGATCAGTCTCGAGACCACGCGGATCGCTTTACTCGCATGGTTGGCTGGGTGTCTGAGTGTCCTCGAGGTGAGACAATGTGGTGAGACCTCCCTCTCAGTGTGACTGGCTGTGTAGCTTTGTGGCCCCTGATCCCGACAGGAAACTCAACGCCTGTCTCAGAGGCCACAGGATGGGATGGCCGGGTGGGTCCGTGGTTTCATTTGTTTTCTCATTTCCTACCCCTGGAGCCTGCACGGGGTCCCGAGAACAGGGGAGATGTGGCAAAGGGATCATCAGCAGTATTGTTTAGGATGAATAGGCTGCTCATTGGTTGGTGCATATAGTGCTTTTGGGGTTGGGGGTGTCATGATCTGTATAGAGCAGCATGAGTGTGACAAACCAGCCTTACCAAAATGTCCTGTTTCACATGACAATTTTACACTGGATGTGGCACCTAGATATTTCATCCTTTCAGCAGCTCTTGCATATCGTAAAATATGACTATGGTTAGAACATTTGTTATCAGATGCTCTCAGTATCTTCCTATAAAAGAAGAAAATTGGGTTCATTATGCTTATGAATTTAGAGATCTGCTCCTATTAGATATTCTGTTGGTAACTAGAAAGAATTTGCTAAGAGGTTATAAACTAAAAAAGTGTTATGTTAGCTGAAAGACTATTTTAAGAAGACACTTTTTCCGGAAATCGGTTTGGCTCAGTGGTAGAGCGTTGGTCTGCGGACTGAAAGGTCCCAGGTTCGATTCCGGTCAAGGGCATGTACATTGGTTGCGGACACGTCCCCAGTAGGGGGTGTGCAGGAGGCAGCTGGTCGATGTTTCTCTCTCATCGACGTTTCTAGCTCTCTATCCTTCTCCCTTCCTCTCTGTAAAAAAATCAATAAAATATATTTTAAAAAAAGAAAAGAAGAAGACACTTTTCTCTGGATTAATATACTGTAAACTGGTATTTACAGGAGTTTCAATGTCACTTCAGCTATTATACAACTTTGTATGTTTTTTTGAGTCCTACTAGTTAGCCGTGAACTTGCACTCTGAAACCTAGCCAAGTTTATCATAACAGTACTATTACAACAAAATCTTTTCAATATTAATCATTTAACTAGGCAGATGTCCTGGTATAACTAACAGTGACCAGGGGAGAATTTGAACCATTAACCCATTTCAATACAACTCAAACTTGTTTCTATTTTGGATCAGTCATTTTACCGCTGGGTGATAGAGATCTGCACTAGGCACAATAAGTTACCTTCTCCCAGCAAGTCAAAACAAATATGATGTGCTTTGATAATTCTAGACAAGTTCTTTTAGCTTTTTGTCAAGCCACCTTCTTAGGATGCTTATCTGTCTCACAAATATCTACAGTCTAACCAGTTATGTAATGCCACCAATGTATTAACAATTCATTCACAAATCAACGTTCTGCTACAAAGATGAATCTGACACATTGCCTCCTCTTGATTTTTTGAGGAAAGTGCTAGAAAATTAGAAATGTTCAATAGCTGTAGGAAAATATAGGAAATCATGGGCAGTTATGGAGCCCATGGTGGGATGTGGAGTTTCTGTAAATAGAGGTTTTCCTGCCTGTGGTCTGTATTCTCAGCCCTAAGTAGACGGCACTAATGCACAGATCATGTAAAATGGGTCAAGGAGAAAAAGGTCTGGCTAGACAACATGTCCAGAAGGGCTACATAGTTATGTCATCAGCTCAGTCTGAAGGTGTGACCAAACTTAAAAACATAAGGTAAGTGTAGTCATAGATAAATGGGCCAAACATCAGATTATTAGTGGGTAGTAGTTGAAATACAGCAGGTGAACAGCTATGAGGATTGGACTGAGGATCTAAGAGTCACAGCAAATAATCAAAATCTGATCAAAAACTGATTACAAAAATATTATTGGGAAAAAAATATATGGTTGGAAGCAGAGATAAGATCTAGTAGGTAATCTAGATCCACAAAGGGTAGTAATAGAGATTATATTAGGGTAGTAATAGAGATTAAAGAAGGGTCACTCTCTTATCTCTACCCTTGCCCACAAATACACTGTGTAGTGTTAAAGGGCTGGTACAAAAGATGTTTATCTTTGAAGAGTTTAAAATCTAATTTAAAAAAATAAATTACCAGAGACTTCATTTCAAAGCAATACAAGCTAATCTTCAAGTGCAAAATCATTTGTCCTTTACATAAATATGAAGGAATTCCAGGAGAAATCAATGGGAGTATGGTTGTTAGGATGGGCTTATGGGAAGATGTAATGGGAAGGTGACATAATAGAAAGAATTCTGGCATCTCTCACTTGTTTACCAGCCTTGTAAGGCTGGGAGTAGATATAATCTCTCTGAGCCTCTACTTAGTAGAGTCTACTAGTACATGATCTTAAGATGTTTAAAGTAATTCTTCAAATTTCTCTCAAGATAGTTATAAATGTTAGTGAGATTGTGGCTATGAAAGTCTGGACATGAAGTATAAAGGTTTATGATGTACTAACAAAAGAGAAGTAAAATTTCATTATGGATAGGAATAGGCTGAATGAAGTAAAAAACATATCAAAAGGAGTAGCAACAAAATTAGGGCACTGAAAAGTGAAGAAAAATCCTTCACCATATGTGCCTTCAATTACATATGGAATTACACATCCAACACAACTTCTGCAAACAACATATATGTTTTTGTTACTTGGAAATAATATTTTTAAAAACAGCATTCTTCAATTAAATTTATCACCTAATGATAGCTAATTTCAGAAAGGGGAGAGTGGAAGGAAAAATATAATGCATTTAAAGAGTTAGAGACCACTTTCACAAATGCCTCATTCCTTTTATACTTCCACTAGGGGCCCAGTGCATGAATTCATACACCTTGAAAGGAACTGTGGGCCATGAAGCTGTGGTGGGCACAGGGGCGGTTCTCGGCCCATGCTCCATGCCTCCCCCGAGCTCCTCTTTCTGCAACCCCCAATCCCCTGTCTGCTGGATGCCCTGCACCCACTGCTGCCACTCCCATGTGCTGACCGTGGCACTGGCCCCACTCGTACCCACTGATGGTGCGGAGTTATTGAGGACAGTGCCAGTAGCAGGTGTGAGTGGCAGCTATTGCCCTGATCATCCCTCAGGAGCAAGGGGAGGTGGAGAAGCCTTCAGAGGCGATCAGGGCCAACAGCTGCTGCTCGCACCCACTAACAGCGCCAATGCAATCAGGGCTGGCTCTGGGAGCTGGCAGCAGGTGCAAGCATGGCTAGCACTAGCAGTGGGTGTGAGCACCAGGCAGGATGGCGGCACACGGGAGCCAAGAATTTTCAGTCACCACCAGAGGCTTGCCCTGATGATGGCGACTGGCACCCCACCTTGGTCTGGCACTCCGACTCACCTGCTCTACCATCCCATGTAGTAGATGCCTACCATGTTCCACACTCTACCACCTGCTACTGATGCCAGCCATGTTCCACGTGTGTCCCCTGATCGTCAATGCATGTCCAAGAGACTGGTTGTTCAGTTGTTCCACTGTTCAGTCTATTTGCATATTAGGGTTTTATATGTATAGATTCTCAGTAATACCATTAAATGTCTTGGTCCTGGTTTCTTTTACCCTGGAAACCAACTTGCTTTTAAAGCTGTTGTCTCTCTTGCTTAGAATGAGGTGAGTAGGCAAGTAGTGTTCATGGTAACTTGGTTAGATTTAGCTATTATACAAAGTGCTCATAAGCAAATATAATGATTAATTTTCAGAAATTAGATTTCCATGAGTTTACATTTTTCTAATCAGTCAGGATGTTTTAAAAATCAAATGTACCTAGCACACCTGTTTACAAGAAGGAAATAATTTCAGCAACAGAATTCATAGTAAAACACCTTAGAGTCCATAACATTTCTCTGGAAAACTAATGATAGGATTTAAAAGCTGCTTGGCAATCATTATGAAACATGAGCAATAAAACAATATAATTGTACAAGAGAGAGAATAGATATCTAATTGATGTTTTCTTGTTTAATTAGTTTTACTTTCAATTACTTTGGTGTAAACTGTGATTGAAAATACATGTAATTGCTTTCTACATACTTTTGTCTTCATTAAAAAATATTAGCTGCCTCTGGGTTTATACTCCAGAAGTGTTTATACATGGTTGGTATTTGGAATCAAAGCTCTTCGTTTTAGAATGCTCTGGCAGACATAATTTTACAGAAAATAAATCCTGTGCCCTCTACCATGGGTTAGGAAATCCTTCCACTGTTCTTTTTTGAAAAGTCTCAGAAGGGGTGCTACCTCTGTGTTTTGCCACCTCTTCATTTCATTAGTTTCCACTTAGCCTAACCTTTGAAGACTCATGGATTTCTGAAATCTAAGGGATCGGCTGGGGTTGAGGATAAATTCAGTTTCAAGAGTATGACTTGCAGTTAAAGGATCATTTAAGGGATGTTCCCAATGAGTTGTTACACTATCAGTTTGAATAGAGAATCAGATCTGTATCTGCCTTTGATGAGGGGACCCGGCAGGGAGAAATGAAGTACAGATTTACCAAGTGGTGCATGTGTCCTAGCAATTTGGACCCCCTTGGCCAATTGTAAATGTTATAGAGTGATGTGTGGGAGGGGCAACTGGAGAGTTCAGTCTTATTTGCCGAACTGTTGTTTTAGTGACCACTGAAAGAAAATTGCCACTCTACAGTTAATAAAAGTGTTTGGTTAAGATTAATTATATTTTATTATACTGATTTGT